TCGGCAGGACCCCGGGAGTTTTCAGAGCCCCCTCCCCTGCCCCAGCCCCCCAGGGCGGCGGGGCCGGGGGGGATCCGGGGGGCCGGCTGCAGCCTACGTCCAGAGGAAACTTTATAAAACCGCGATCGGGAGTCCGCCAAAGGAGACTGTCCCGGGACAAGTGGCCCTGGAAGAGCAGAAGCCACAGCCTGAAGAGACCCAGGAAGAGGAAAGGAGGAGGTGAGCGGGGCCTCCGCCTCCTCTTCGCGGGCCGGCGCGGAAGAGACTGGGGTGGCCACCTGGTTGATCGACTCGGGCGCTGCTGCTTCCTCGGCTGCGCGCCGGAGCCTTCCGCAGCTGCTGTCTCGGTCCGGAGGAGGAAGGGAACCAACCCACTTTCTCAGCGCCCTTCTCGAACGCGTGAGTGGCCTCGGGAGGTGGGGATTGAGGGGTAGAAAGTGGGAGCACGCTGGTGTTTCAGTCTGGAATTTTGCCGTTTTCCAGAAGTGTCGGGAGTATAGGTGAGAAGGCACGTATACCTTTGTGTCTTACAGAAGAAGGTGTTAGGTAGTGTTTTCGAAACCTTTTAGTTTGCAGGAGTAATGCGACTATATAGGTTTCTCTTAGAGGAGTTCTAGCCAGAGTCTCTGGCCAGTAGTAATTGTCAAAGGAAAATCGAGGAAGCCAGACTCTATGTGCACACAAAGAACATCTCTGTATTGTACCTTTTCCTGGTACATCGGCAGAGGTACATGCAGTTTTTGTTTCTGGGGAACTCTCTTAAGGGTTCCCAAGTGGGAAACACCATTTAAGCCCCTCCTTGCGGTCTTCAGTGAGAAAAAGACCGGTTTTCATTTTTATTACCTACTGTACTTGAGTACTGTAACACTTTTCAGTTGCTCAAGAAATTCTGAGTTCTTAGGAATTACTGCATTAAATCATTTTATAAAAGTTGTTACGTTTTCTTCAGCCCATATTTTTTTAAGACTTTGCTTGTTTATTTTTACTTACCCCTCAGTTTAGGGGGAAACTCTTGGTACTGAATTTTTTCAAAAGTGACTTTTTCCTTCTGTTATTTTGAAGTTGAAGTCTGTAGAATCTGTGACTTGTATTTTGGCTGTCTTTCTGGAGTGCTGGATGAGACATGAGGTGCATAAAATTAACGTTTCATAGATTCATATGGACTTTAAGTGTTAAGTGGAGAGCGGAGTCTTTTTTTGCGGGGGGACGGGGTCTCACTATATAGTTGAGACTGACCTGGAATTCACCCTGTAGCGAGGCTGGTCTCGAACTCACAGTGATCCTTCTGCCTCAGCCTCGGAGTCCTGGGATTACGGGCGTGCTCCACCACGCCTGGCATAAGAGTGAAGTTTTGTGTAATAAGGCAGCAGGCAGTACTACAATGAGAATACTGGCCCATCCAAACTGAATCGTGGGCTGTCTCTGCTAAAGATGCTTTATAGGATTGAAGGTGCACTTGGGGTTGCCTGTCCTGATTTCTCCATTCAGGAACATGATTACATTTATTTAAAACTTTCTCAAACTGATAACAATCATTTTCCTATACTTTTTCTCTTTTTAAAGTAATGAGTTTTGCAGGCATATTGGCTTCTGTATTATGTAGCGATTTGTTCATTTACCTCAACTCTAACTCCATAAAGTTTCAGGACACATTCAGTTTGTGTTTTGAGAAATGCGAGAACAGGCCTGAGTTTTTCTCCTAGTTTTATAGATTTTGGTTATTCTTTCCCAGCTTTTTCTGTTTGAGAACATCTTCCATTTCTTTGAAAACTTTGCTTTACTATATACTTATGTTTTATGTTTTTCTTAAGATGCCTTGTTCTTATTTTTTGAGATAACTTCAACTTCTACGTATTTTAAATGGGAACTGACATGAAAATATTGAACAGTGGATGTAAGGTTAGGTTTAGAATCAGAAAAAATTAGTTTTGGATATATTATTTTGTGATCTTGAGGAAGCCATATATTCCATTTTTCACGAAGATGATGACGAGAAATTTAGTCTTGCATAGGCTTTTTGGGGAAGAAATGAATATAAATCAAGAAACTAGTTTGAGTGTAGATTGCCCTTGGTCAAAGTTCCTTCTGACTTTAGGACCTACTTTCATTATAACTTGGTTAAAAATTGTGGTAATATTTTATTGAATATTTGGCTAAAAATGACGAAGTATTGGTGGGGGGCCCTGTTTCGGTGTTTTTACTGGCAAAGGTAGTCAAATACAATTGTATTGAAAAGGGGGGGTGGCACCAGTATTAATTGAAATCCAGTGTGCTGGATGCATTGTTTGTTATCTTACAGTAATGAATATATTTGTACATTTTTCCTTAGGGAAATGTTGGTTTTGGGTTACACAGAACTAAATAGAATGTCTGAGCCAAATTTGGGAAGGTCTTTTTCAGGAAGAGAAGTGCAAGTAGGGACAAACAATTTCAGACTTTTGGAATGGAGGGTGCAAGGGATAGATGCAATTAGGAAGTTAGCTAGATGGGAATGCCTTCAAACTGAGCTTGTTAAGTAGGGATGGGGGTGAGTTAGTGTTTATGTAGATGGATGCTTATAGCCCAGGAAGCAGTTGACAGCTGTTCCTGAAAGGGTAGTTTCAGATAATTTGGGAGAGATTACATTTTAGAGCAAAGGCATTATGCTTAGATTAGGATTTGTTTTTCTCAGGAATCCACATCTTCACATCCTGGCCATCGAGGGGAGACACAGAAGGATGAGTGGAAATAGAGTGTTTTAGTATGGTATTACCAGTTTTTCGTAAAAATAATTCAGAGAAGGGACAGAAGATGTTGTTATGGACATTAAATTTTGGATTCAGAGTGGGATACTCATACAATTTCAAGACAGTGATATGCTGACCATGTAGGATTGCATGTTCTTTTCAAAGTATTTAGGTTTCTGATGGAGAGTGAAGAGCCAGAAAATAGGTGCAGTATTTCTTTTTTGTGGGAGGGGAATCTGTGTTAGAGTGAGTAAAGAACAGTGTAGTTAGGAACAGAGAGTAGATGAGATCCTCCCCAAAAGAGCAGATGGAAAGTGGAGGAGCAGCCCATCCTCACACATGCCTATCACTTTAGACTCAGGGCATATGACTTTTTTTTTTTTTAAACAGCTATAGAATTTTAATACATATGTAGTCTCTTGAGATTAAGTTCAAAAGAGTATATAGGATTTCATTGTTAAGGAACTTACAAATAAAAGGGAATATATTTCTCTGAATTTATATTTTTAAAGTTTGCCTTGTGTTATTATCTTAAGTTTGGTCTTAACTACAGCAGAGTGAGGCTAAAAATAGCTGGCAGGGAAGGCTGCTTCCCTTGCTCAGAGTTGGTGTGTGTCTTTGTGTCCCGTACAATGGAGGGGATATCCCTGTGTTGGCACAGCAGTGTTGAAAATATTTTAAAGTTTTAAAAACTTAAAAAAAAAAAAAAAACAAACAGCTCGGCACTTAAAAGATTTATACATCTTTGCAGCTAGCATTTGGTGTTAACTTTAATAAAGGTTAGGGATTGTGAGTAGAGATACACAATCCTTAGTTTGAGTTAAGTACCCTCCCTGTGCTTCTTTGGCTTCTTAGGGTAATGCTCTTGGCAGAACCCTCTTGGAAAGGGATATTTTGACAGGGAGATAGGTCTAAGATGAGTCTAGAGTAAAGGGTTAGGGGTTGGATTATATTCTGTAGGGGGCCTTTTACCTTTGTTCTCCATGTTCTTCAGTATTATGGAGATGAAGCCATGTAGCATCATATGTTTAGATGAATTTAAAAGAAAGCCTTTTAGGGTTAATATGATTTACTAGTACAGCAGGACTGGTGGGACTCCATGAGAGCAGGGAGTGGTAACTTCTGGGTACTTTGCCTTGCAGCTTCAGGAATAATATGATTAGAGAACTCCAGGAGTGTGTCTTTCTGTGTGCCTTAGTGCTAGATATCACCAAAGTCTAAATGAAGGATACCAGCAGCCCTTTTCATTGTGCTTTGGAAAAATCTTGTACCTCTGACATCTCATTGTGTAGAGAAAGTGTTGGCCAGTTGATATTTTAGGTTTGTGGGTCACATTTTCTCTTGAAGTGTGAAAGCAGCCATAGATACACAGAAGCACATGCGTGACTGGGTTTCAATGTAATCTCATTCATAAAAGCAAGAGGCACATTGATTTGACCTATAAGCTGTAGTTTACATACCCTGAGTGTAGGTAATTGTCACACCTACCAGCATAAAGTATGAGCTTCATTACACAACAGAGAGAGGAACTGGCTATTTTAGGTGGCCAAGCTCTTCCAAGCTGTCTTATAATGGTTCTGCAGAACATGGAGTCTACTCTTCACTATATTTTTGCCTTCATAGTGATGGAAGCTGTGGATTGAGGAGCAGGGGTGATCCTGTTTCTAGGGATGCAGCTAGAACGTTGAAAGATACCACCTTTGGTAATATAGGGATATGCTAGTTTTGTATCATAGCCAAAAGTGTCTGTGAAGAAGCTTATGGACTTTGAAAATTGTAAAACATTTATTTTGAATGTAGAGTTAAAAGTATTTATGGTTGGTTTGAATTGGATAAAAATAATGAAATTGTAAGAACATTAAGGCTCAATACTTCTACTTTTTAAAGTCTTAATCTCTTGCAATGATTAATTCATTGTATGGACTTACTGACTTCACAATTATTTTTGTTTTGTTAATTTAAAGTTTTAAATTTTGTAAATCGTTTAAGTGTGTGTATTAGACAGCTTTGCTATATTCTTTTTTTTTTTGGTACTGGGGATTGAACTTGTGCTTGCAAGGCAGGTGGTGGAGCTTTGCTGTATTCTTAAGGATGAATGTATCCCAGATATTTTGTCCAGAAGGAGTTCACTTTGTGCAATTTTTACATTACAGTTAATATCAAAGTATTTGTTTCATATGTCAACAAATACCTGTATTGGTGATGGTATATTTACCCTAGTTTCATAAATCTGATGTTGAGTTCTCCTATTTATTGTAAGGGAGGAAACTGTTCTTGCAATTATGATTACTTTTTAATTAGTTTTAAACCTGCACTTATGTAGTACAGTCTTCCCTTTCTATCTGTGGGAAATTGATTTTAGGACCCCTGTGAATACCAAAAATGTCACTTCCATAAAATAAATTTTTTTGTATATAACCTATACACATCCCCCCATATACTTTAAATCATCTTTAGATTGCTTATAATATCTAACACAGTGTAACTGTTATGTATGTAGTTGTTGCTCTGCATAGTATGGGAATGAAGAGAAATAAAATATGTACATTTTCAGTGCAGTACACAAGACACTTTTTTTCCTGAATATTTTCTATCCATTGTTGGCAGATTGCAGACACTAAGGGTCACCTGTATTTCTGTGTGAATAGCTTCAATTTCTCTTCTTCCCTTTAA